TGCGAAACATTAAATACATTCAAAGAATTTAAAAATGCTGTTACATTAATTTCAGTTCGTTCAAACGATTAAGAAGAGAAATGGATGCGTATGTAGCTCCTGGAGCTTATTCATAAGTTATTAAAATTGTTCAAAACGGGAATACAGTAATGTCTCCCTAATTGTCGCTCTTTGTATACACGAAATTGGACAATTTGCGTAGAGGAGATACGATTATTCGAGCCTTAAATCTCGTTTTTATAGTTGTTGGCAATCGGTAGCTGTGAAAACGAGTCGCAAGACTGAAATAATCGTATCTTCTCTTCCCAAATTGTCCACTTTTGTGCACAATCCGAGCGTCAATTAGGGAGAACTTACTGTACTAAGGCGCGCTGAGACACGATTCCTCGAGCTTCGCGGCTCGTTTTTACAAAAACGAGGCAGAAGACTCAAATTAATCGTATCTCCTTTTCCTAAATTGTCCATTTTTGTGCACGATCCAAGCGTCAATAAGGGAGACATTACTGTAGATCTACTTTTTATGTGCAACAGATCAAATTCAATTTGTTTTCCATTTGCTCCACGCGAAAAGCAAAATGCAGAACAAACGTAACTCAGGTTTCTGTTTATTTAACATCGCTTAGAAAAGCTTTTCCAAACTTATGGCAACGGAAAGTGCACTTGGTACTTTTAGATCGTCGAATCGGCGGAGGATTCTACGTAATCCCCGCGGAAATAAACCGATTTCCAAGGAACTCGAGACGCGTATTAGGAAAATGACGTTGAACTCGCAAACGGAGAAAGACAAATTCACGGGGAATTCCACGTTTCGGGAATGAATATTCCGTGCCCCCGATTACACGATCCGTTCCCTGGGAAATAAACTGGTCGGACAAGTTTCCATAAATTTTCGAGACGGTTCGATACAGAACAGTTCCTTTTTTATCAGGTTCCCCGGCGGCGGAATAGATCGGCGCTGCGTACAAACGTTTCTCTGCAGTCTCGCAATATCTGGTACATTTTTCATCAGTCAATTCTGCGGATTAACATACAGTTTACGACCGTTTCTTGCGCTGCAGGAAAACTAGCATATTTATCAATCCATTTCTACGTGGCTGGCGCGCGTGAAGAAGCATAGCTTAAACAACAGAAATGTGTCGATTATTTATGCCTGGTCGATTCCTTAATTTTCTGTCTGGATGTTAATCAAAATTCAACGTCATTCATAAAGAGATAATGAAGTTCGCAAAGTCTCTCTTTTCGAGAATGAGGGCAAAATTATTGAATAAAACAAATTCGTGAATAATTAATCTACGTGCTGCACGCATTACTTTGTCAAAATCAGTATCAAAATATGTATAAACGCGCGATGTATATGTACGAACAAATATGTGTAAACACGCAAAAATTAATTGGAGAATAAAACTTGTTGATCAAATTTTATTCGCATAATTTGTGATGTATAGTCTGCATATTCTGCATAGTCTGAAACGAAAAGCAATTGTTTTAATAACACAGTGGAACAATATAAGTTCGTTGTGAGGTCACAATAAAAAACACAATATTACAATCAACTTTAATAGCACACTGTAACAATAGAGAGAGTCTCCCAAAATTATTGTACAAGTGGAAAATGCTTTTTAATAAAAACAACATTTTCCTTGGCGAGAATGCAATCCGCCGCTTCGTTTACGAGTTATTAACGAAAAGCTGTGAATTATTAAAATATTATATTATTATTATAGCGTAATATAGTAATATTATTAATATATATTATATAATTAATATATAATATATAAATTTAATATAAATATACTAATATATATAATTAATATAATTATAGTATATTACTAATAGTAATATTATTATTATTATAGTGCGATTATTCCAGCATTGCGACTCGTTTTCTTTCTTTCTCGTTTTCCTTAGCGAAAATGCAATCCGCCGCTTCGTTTACGAGTTATTAACGAAAAGCTGTGAATTGTTAAAATATCATATTATTATTATAGCGTAATATAGTAATATTATTAATATATATTATATAATTAACATATAATATATAAATATAATATAAATATACTAATATATATAATTAATATAATTATAGTATATTACTAATAGTAATATTATTATTATTATTGTGTGATTATTCCAGCTTCGCGACTCGTTCTTACAGTTGTTGATAATCGGTAACTACAAAAAACTGGCGCAAGGTTCAAATAATCGTATCACATCTCCCGAAATCGTCCATTTTTGTTTCCAAGCTGTGCGTCAATTAGGGAGAATTTACACCACCGTGCGCCGTCGAAAAGGAATCAGCTATTCTCGAACTTGCGAAATCGTCTTTACAGCTTGTAATGTCTAATTCGTCGAATCCGCCGTGATTCCTCTATCAGCGGATTGAATGGCTGCTCGTTAAACTCCGGGAAAAGCTCGATGCAAAATGGACGTGCGCGAACACAGCCGTATCACGAGTCATTTATCAATTCGAACTCCGGCTTGCCGGAGTTTCGACGGAGTCGGGTGAATTTATCGGAGGCTGGACATCGATTTCCTTCGACCGTCGGGCCGATGTTTCAATCGACGCGTTCCGACGATTCTCGCAGAGGGACAAAGGAACCCGTCGTATCTGTCCGTGGAATCGCGAGGATTCGCGCGAGTTCGATCGGGGATCTTGATTGCGGATCCGTCGTCGGGAAAAGGAAAGGACGTTATTAATGGTCGCCGGAGATTATTAATAGCACTGATAGAAATCACCTTTTTTTTCCATCGGGGGCTTAATGCGGCTCAAACGACCGCATCGTGGCTATTTATATGGATGTTTAC